CAATAACAGCGAGTGCTCGTGGTTATTATTTTCTTTCTTTTTTTAAATTGTGATAAATAATAACTTTCGTCCAACAAGAAAATCTATAAATTATACAATATGGAATATTATTTAATATTACCTATGATGAAAGTATACGTTGTAGCCTTAATATTATAAAGGTCGTTCATAAATATAAAATATTTATACGCAATACATATATATAGGTGCGATATAATGTACCAACATGATATCATAATTATATTTATGTACGATAATTATTGTATGAATAATGTTACTATACTTCATCAAAACAATTCTATCATATTATCTTTTACGACCATGTGTCATGTTTTCGTGTGTGTATTTGTTTGCTTTGTGGCGTGAGTGTAATTTTTCTCCAGCATATTTTGACTTATGCAAAAAAATAAATCTACAATAACTAGATATCAGTCTCCGGATTTTTGTGAGTTTTTAATTATAATATTCTTCGTCGTAATTTTAGTGTATTCATTTTTCTTCCGAATACTCTATTAATTTTAAGATAAAAATTATAACATGAAAAATGATTGTTTATAATTAAAAACCTCTTCATATTTTATAAATAATATTTAAATAATTTACTATAATATATATTATTATTATTATTATTATTATTATATTATCTACTACTATCGCGCTCTTTAACCGTTGTATTCGCTAAGACATTGTATTATTGTGATTAGTTTTGCGTTAGTAGTTATGGTTTTATTATTGTTAGAGCTTATGTATTATTATTATTATTATTATTATTATTGTTAGTCAAATATAGACACTTATTATACCAGCATCATATACCTATAGTAATGAATAATAATAATTATAATTTATGATTAATATTATTATCATGATCATTATGTATATTACTTTATGATTGTCATTATTATTATTATTATTATTATTATTATTATTATTAAGCATAGCGGTTGGCCTACACCAAACAATAGTGAAGTGTTAACCACACAAGGTGAACCGAAACGCAGTTTTTTCGTAGTCATTTCCATGTAACACTTATAATATATGTGTCGTACTTAATATCTCTCGGCTTGACCGACAGTTGTGATTTCCATAATCCATAAGTAGGATTAGTATTTGTTTTTATTTCAAACTATTGTAGTTATTATTTGTCTAGTATGCTTAATTAATAGAATATTAAACATTAAAAAAGAACAGTATTGTATTTCTGTTTTGTTTTTTATTTCCATATTATACATAATAATTATGTTACCTATGTAATATGTATGTGTGTTTGTTGTGTGACACTGTTATACCAATAGGTACTATGTATTATAAAAATACTATGCTACAATAAGTTCTTAGCATTTACACCTATAATTGAAGAAAAAAAACTATCATTTTATTGAAATGGTTAAAAAAACGTATGACCAGAACTGAAAATATTGTAGGTATGTATATAGGTACTGATAAATTAAATAATAATAAGTCATTATTTCCGTAGACATATTGCCGTAAGCCTTGAAAAACGTTTATTTAACATTTCAACCGGAAAAAAACAAATAGATACCTAACTTAATGAATTCAACGGGAAAATTAAGCGGAGAAATCTTTCCACTGTATAATTAGTATAGATTGTGCTTCGCTATGCATAGTAATGAATCGCTGTAATAAAATATGGRTTAATTTTGAATTCAGTTAAAATATATGATTGATTGAATGCATAATTGAAATACAATTCTGAGCGGAGTCTACCTTTTGGCCTAAATATTTCTGAAAAAATGTAATTATATATTTTATTCATATTAGTTTAATAACTCATAAATTATGTTGAATTAATATTACTAAAAACCGATTGAAAAATAGGTATTTGATTAACTATTAGTAAGTACAACTTATAAAAAATGTTATTTTAAATGTTCAAGCTTTTTGACGGAATACATTTTATAGGTATCAAAATTTAAACATGGTAAAAAGGAACTGAAAAATAACCGTAAATTTAAAATTACTTTAAATAACGTGATAGTAGTTTGAATGTTGATTAAATAACATTGTACATGAAATATGATAGTTTAATATGCAAACATGGAATCTTATAACATATACAAAGTTAATCTACGATTAATAATTTTTGAATAATATCAAAAATCATTTGATGGTTAATCATTATTATACGTTTAAATATCGAATATCTTCAAAAGTTTGAATTTCAATCGTTCATTAAAAATTAATTTGACTTTAAACTAAACTTTTTTCAGGGTTTGAAACCGCTTTCAAGATCAATTTTTAATATCAATAAAAGTCGTTAAAAATATTCTAAGAAACCAAAAGTAATATCAAAATCAAATATTTATAATACTTAAATGGTATTGAAAAAAAATATATACCGTTAAATTATATCAAACTAATACAGTCTTATAATTTTCATAAATAAATCGATTAAAAAAAAACCATCAATTAACATATAGTATTTATTTAAAGTTTTGTGTTCCGTATAGGTAACTGCTATAAAATTGCTTAACAATTTAAAACTGTACTCATTTTATTCTCCAATAAAAACTTATAAAGTTCCTTGCATTACATTTTTAAGATATTAAATCAAAAATCGTACAAATTATAATAATTACAAAAAATTTAAATGAAAAGCTATTTACATATTTTTGTGGTTTTGACCAATTTTTAAACATTCTGATTGACTTCCAACGCTATTAAAACAATTGTTAGTATATATTTTCAAAAGTTACGACTAGTGAAAATTCTTATATAAAATGATCAAGATTTTAGACTATTAAACAAAAATGTTATCATGCATATTATGTAAATCAACAAAAAAAAAGCGGGTAAGTCGTGTATGTCGCTCTGCTGTACAGTAGGTTACAAGTGGGTTACTGTAATGGATGGAATTAAATTTGAATCCAATGATATTATATCATTGTATAC